ACCCAACCCAGGCATCTAGAGCCCGACTGAAAATGGGCCTGTACTTGTAGCTGGGGAGACAACAATGCAAAAATTGGCTATGACACTTTGGTCTGCTTTATTCTTTCCGAGTAGGCCCAGTCCTATGGCTAACTGATGAATCAGGCAGGGACTGGATCTCTGAGGGCAGTCCCCAAACTGAGTTGAATTCCTGTGTCTGGGAGGTATTATTTGGTGCAGTTGGAGTCTGTGCTGCTGTGGAAGGCAGCTGAGAACCACCCTGGGGACCCTTCCTCAATCTAACCATAGTGGCTTGTCTCTTGTGTCCATCCAAAGGACAAAACACAACTGCAAGGTTAGAAGGGTTCTTGGACCTGTGTTTGGGAGAGGGCAGAGGATTCAGGTCCCAGAGAGAAGGAAGCAGGTAGCTACTGTAGGACATCTAACTTTGTTTTCTAGAGCTCTTTGTCCCTAATTCCGTGGCCTTAGACCAGTCAGCATGGCCCAGTTTTTCGGAGAGTTGAAATTCCATTTGGAAGTCACCTTTCTGACTCCGGTTCCAAAGCTTTAGTCTGACGGTCAGCCACCAGAGGGCGCCGCGAACTCAGGCTCCAGCCGCTGCCTGCCCCGCCTCCTTGAGCTGGGGGCCTTGGATCAGGCTGTTGGGCAGCCCTCAGGCAAGGCCAGAAGGACTGTTTGCTGTTGCCAAGGCCCTGTCCTTTATCCTCCGCTGCCACTACCACCACCTGCTCCAGTACTGTAGGCGTTCCCTCCTTCCCACGTTGCTGACCTGGTTTTGCTGTGGCCACTGTGGGAGGGGAGGGGAGGTATCTGCTCTCTGCCTCAGCTGTACAGGCTTCTGAGTGCCACCGCAGGCTCAGTGTGGTGGTGTGGCCTTGGGAACCGCCTTAATTTGCTTGAAGTACAACTGGGGACAAAAGGCGCTTGCTTTTACTAAACATATTGGAAACAAGGCCTCGTACCTCCAGTTCACCTTTACCAGGACATCTTGGAGCCATGGTCAAACCTATATTGCAGATTCTTTTTTTTTTTTTTTTTTTTTTTGGCTTTTCGAGACAGGGTTTCCCAGTAGTTACGGAGCCAGAGATCTGCCTGCAAAGTGCTGGGATTAAAGGCGAGCACCACCACCGCCTGGCCCTTGCAGATTCTTAAAGTTGGGATTCTGGGAATCCTCGTTTGCAACCTGGTAGTGTTGGGTCAGGGCATCGCGCAATGATGGGGGAAGACCACCAAAGTCTATTAAACCAGAAGTACACTTTATTCCAGGAAAAGAAAAAACAATCACCATGGGGCACACAAAGTGTATCAGCTCTAGCTGTGACTGCAGCCAGGGATCTGCAGCGCTGGCCATGGGGGCTGGTTTGGGACCTTTCCCTTATAGGAAAACCAAGCGCCAGGTGTAGGTCAAAGAGCTTTTACAACCTCAAGGACAGACTTAAAGTCACAATACATTCTAAGTTTTACAACTTTTGGTTATAGGAGGCTAGAATGTTAACTCAGGAAGTTTGCGAAAGCCTGTGGCTGACACAGGCCTTTTCACTGTCCCTGCAAGAATGCAAGGCAGAGAGTAGAGAGTCCCATGGGGGACAGTTAAAAATGAAGGGAATACAAGCAGAGGGTCCCATAGAGGCAAAAGTTAGAAGCTAACTTTTGTCCCCAGTACCTGCCTAGCTGGGAAACTAGGAGGCAGGTAACAATTGTTGAAAGTTTATCCCTGTACACATGGCTGCCAGGATGTCAGCTCTTAAGGCAGAAAGTGTTTGTTAAAGGTTAACAGTGGCTGCCAGCTTTATTATTTTTTCTCTCAAAATGTGCTTGGGCTTACAACTTGATATTTCTACATTCCTGGACCAGATCCTTTATTTCTATATTTTATTCCTGGACTCATTAGTGCTGACTGGGTTACAGCTTGGCAGGAAGCAGCTGTGGCTCCATCCAAGGCAGGAATACCTGGAGACTGCCACTGGCAGGCTGGAGGGAATGTAGATGACCCAGCACCAGCTGGGGAGCCAACTGCCGTGCTGGGCCAGCAGCTTGCTGTGTGTTCTGTGCAGGCTGACAGGCCACGCCTGGGACCACGGGCAGCCACTGGGCGATGTGTGTGGCATATCCAGTCAGGGCCAGAACACTAGGCCCAGGTCCACCCACACACCGAAGCGAGGCTGCAGGAAGCGTGACCCACCAGCCAATGGCACAGCACTAGAGCCGCCTCCTGTAGTGCCCACCACTACTGCTGGCATCATTTTCCAGCAGGCAGTTCCTATAGCAGCCGCACCAACCTCCTGGGCCAGCTGGTCATGGTGTCAGTCCATACTGTCAACCAGCATGGGGCTCAGAGCCAGCCCGCTGTCCTCATTGAGATTTGGTTCCCTCACCATGCAATTCAGAGGTCATGGGAGGTGCCCAGTACACGCAGCAGCCTCGTTTCAGAGTGGGCACATAGTGCGGCATTCTGTACGGCGTTGGAAGGCTAGAGAACCAGCGGCAGGTCGGCTAGAGTCCTCATCTTGCTGAATCCAGGGCTCCAGAGCCCACTCCTAGGCCACACTGTCCTTGTCCTCTGCATCTGGCAAGCAAGATGGAGGCTGGCAGGAGCAAGGGGAGGAGGAGGTGGTGCCAGGACACCCTGGGGGGCTCCAGCCATGATGGTCTGTCTTCCCTGCTCCACAGCCAGGCTCTCGGTGACCTCCTCCCTCCCCTCCTCTCCTCTCCTCTCAGCTCAGTCCTGCTCCTTCTCAGAGCCCTTTATCCGATCTCAGCAGAGAAGGAGGGGGCTGGAGGCCAGGCCAGAGAGCACTTCCAGGTCACGGGATTCATCTGGGTCTTGGACTCAGGTATGGACACGTGGGTCCACACCTGTGGAAGCCTTCTGCATTGCCATCCATATCATTGTCCTCGGAGTGCCCCGTGCAGGGACCCTGAGGTCCTGCTTTCGGACCGTCAGCTCCAATGGTTCTGCCACTCAGCTTTGCAGCTTCCTGGGCTGATTCCTCACAGCTCGATTCAGTGAGTCTCTGCATGTGGGGTTCCTGACAGTGAGAGGAATGGGCCCCAAAGAATGTCCCCCAGCTCTCCCAGTCCTGCTCCGTGGAATACACACACACTCCTCTCAGATGTCCCCTCCATCTCCAGGTTCTAGGGATCTTCTCCCTTCCTAGCAGGCTATCTTCCGCCATCGATACAGTTGTCTGAGATCCAATCCCTCCATTGCCAGGTCTAGTGCTCCTCCCTCCCCAAGTGGCAGCTGCTCTACTCCTGGAAGCATTTGGCCACAGAACACTCCTCCAAGGGCTCAAGCCAGCCGTTCACTAACATCTAACCTATGGTTCCTGCCAGGGCAAGAGGCTGTCAAAGGGACTTAAGAGTAGGCATCTCCTCTGTTCTTTTAATCTCAGCTGTATCAAAGTCGTGTTCTACTTCTAGAACCTTCTCTAGCTTCCCCATGGTTTTTCAGGCTAAACCAAGACTTGGTTTACAGTGGATGAAGCCCCTGAAACCAGCTGGGGAAGAAATGGGTCTCTGGGGATCCACAGAACACGAAGCACAGGCTCCTACCTTCAATCCACTGCAAAGACACTTTAGTTCTGTTTTCCCAGCCTTGGAAACTCCATCTTAAACTAGAAATCCTTTCGAAGCTTAGCTCAGAGTTCAACCTGGAGCCACGGAAGCTGGGCGATAGGGGGAGGAGTCACAGGCAGGGCCACAGGAGGTGGGAGGGGCCAGGAGTGGGCCGAGCCTTGGGCATGGAGGGGTTAACCACCAAGCCAATCTCATAGAGCGAGATCAATGGGTTACTGCCCATGAAAGAGAGAGAGAGGTAGCAACAACGCAGACAAGCAGAGAAGAGCCTGGCAGAAGAGCACGCCACCCCAGGGAAATCCAGTCTGAGGAGGAGGCTGGTCAGTAACAAGTGCCCACATCCAACTCAGCAGACTGCTGAGGGCAAATGAGAAGAAGGGCCTTGAAGACGAAGGAAGAGAAATAGGGAGCAGAGGCGTACCTGCAGGGAGGCACCACGGACAGCGGCTGTGCCACCCCCAGCCTTGCCGTTCACCAGGAAGCATGCAGGGGCCCAGTGCTTAGGGCTGAGGTGGGTATTGCTCATCCTGGGCTTGGATGCCTGCTGCATGCTGGGTACTATGCGGTGGGGGGGGGGGGACAACAGCTATCACCTTTCTTCCCTCCTCCCTTCCTCCTGACCCCCCTGCTCTTCATTCCTCCCACCGCTCCAGTGGTCCTGGGGTGCAAGCAGATCCACAGGTTGTGGACTGTGGGGTGGGGCGGGGATGAAAACAGGCGGTGAGCACATAGCCACGTGCACGGGGCCTCTGTGAGTGGTCGGTGCACCACCTGTTACAGTCTTTCAGCATAGGAGTAAGGACCACAGCAGCCCCAGGTCTGTCACTTAGGGTGTGATGTTAACCACTCAGGTCACCTCTCTAGGACTCAGTTCCCCTAGGCAAAGCAGAGACAGTGGCTTTATCGGTCATCCTAGGTTTGCCGCTGTGGTGGTACTTTCATGAGAATGGACTCTCCAATGACTCAGGGATGTCACCAGTGCAGCCTCTGGCCACAAAACAGCCCCTAAAAACAAGGGTCTCTCCTGAACTTCAGACCTGGTTGAAAAGGAAAATATACCAACGTCTAGAGTGTGTGCTGCCCCTCCCCAACCCACCCTGCTGCAACATCTTCATCCTATTCTGCCTGTGTCTTCACATGCCTAAGTCCAGAGTAACCCAAATGGCCTTCCAGGCTCTGGGTTACAGAGGTGTTCCCTAGGAAACCAAGGAGTAGCGCTTCTGTGAGCATGTGCGTGTGCGCACACACACCAATGTCACTGTGGCAGATTCTTGTTCACACAGTGATCTTTTTAGCTTGGCTCTACCCTCTCCCATCTCTCGTGAACTTCTAGCCCAAGACACTTGGTCCCCTGGGTCAAGTGCCTGGAGTCCTGGCCTCCTGTCTAAGGATCCATTTTCTCTTCCCCATCTGATAGGAAGATGGCTGACATCCAGAACATTTCGCTGGACAGCCCAGGGAGCGTAGGAGCTGTGGCAGTGCCTGTGGTCTTTGCCCTCATCTTCCTTTTGGGCATGGTGGGCAATGGGCTGGTGTTGGCTGTGCTGCTGCAGCCTGGCCCAAGTGCCTGGCAGGAGCCTGGAAGTACCACAGACCTCTTCATCCTCAACTTGGCAGTGGCCGACCTCTGCTTCATCCTGTGCTGTGTGCCCTTCCAGGCGGCCATCTACACGCTGGATGCCTGGCTCTTCGGGGCCTTTGTATGCAAGACCGTGCACCTGCTCATCTACCTCACCATGTACGCCAGCAGCTTCACTCTGGCCGCCGTCTCAGTAGACAGGTGAGCTGTACCGGGGTAGACTGGAGACAGACCTGGGCAGATTCTTATTGGCTAGTGGAGGAGAGATTAGGGATCAGAGGATGGTGGGCATAAAGGCATGCCTCAGTGGTACCCGCCCTTTCCACCTCTATTGCGAACTTCCAGAGGACATTTCTGTGCCCCAAGTGTCAGCACAGGCCTGGTATAAGGGTAAAATATACAGCAACAAAAGAAACCCCCGGGGCCAGATGTGCTGGTGTTGTGTCCAGCACTCTGGAGGCAGAAGTAGGAAGATCTCTGTGAATTTGAGGCCAGCCTGATCTACAAAGGGAGATCCAGGACAACCAGGGATCCACAGAGAAACCCTGTCTCGAAAACACACACACACACACACACACACACACACACACACACGGGAGGGGGAGGGAAGAGGAGAGAGAGAGAGAGAAAGAGAGAGAGAGAGAGAGACAGACAGACAGACAGACAGGCAGACAGACAGGACAGACAGAGAGAGAGAGAGCGAGAGCGAGAGAAAGGAAACAAGAAACTCCCAATGCATTCTTCAGATATTAAGGCCCACATTGCACTCACATCTGCTTCCCTGTCTCGAAAACTCCCTAATCAATGAATGACCTTGGGTGAATCTTTGGGCCCCTGCTAGATGCCAGGCAAGGAGAGTGGGATGGGGAAATTAAGGCAGGTGCGGGACGGCCGCGCGCAGGAGGCCCCCGCCCCCCTGACCACGCGCCCTCTGGCCCGCAGG